AGATAGATAGATAGATAGATAGATAGATAGATAGATAGATAGATAGATAGATAGATAGATAGATAGATAGAGAGATAGAGAGATAGATAGATTCGGAGAGTGATGTCACATATTTGGGCACCTCCCCTGCAGTATACTTGAACCGAAATATTTGAATAACCTATCTCTCCTCCGCCTTAAACTTAGTTGTTTCCTTGGCTCTGCTTTCAGTCGGTGCACCGGCGAGCGGTGGGTTTGATGCCGCTGAACGCATGCTCTCTGCTCCACTCTCCGAGCGCTCCCTTTGCGGTTCCACAGACATAAAAACACATAGACTGAAGCAGGGAGCTCAATGTTCAAGGACTGAACCTTGGAGAAAAGTGGCTTCCCGGATCCCGACAGCATGCGGGTCCCGTTGAGCGCTTTGTACCCGGTCTTCTCTCTCACCGTCTTCGGATTATACCCCTCTATGGTGAGTTAGCGTTTGCGATAATGAGCTCTAAAAAAAATGTCCACTCGCTCCACACAGGGCTTTGTGTAGCTGGAACACGTCATGACTTCATCATTCTCCACAAAAAGACAGTCAATCTTTTGTCTCATTTTAATACTCAGTCTTTTCCTGTCAGGATTTTAGTTTATCTTTATGTTTAACCTTGAGTAGTCTTAAGGGGAATAGAGTTGCATGCACATTCCACACCATTAAAGATTCAATGAGTAAAGCTTATTGCTTCTGATTTATGTGCAAACAAGTGTGTGTTCTTTGGGCTCAGGATCTTTTGTTGGGAACAGCTTCACCAGGGAGTGGAGCTGTCCACTACCTGGGGTTGAAACTTTGCTTTGCAATCTCTTTGCCTTTGCAACACCCGTCAGAAACCCATCAGAAACGGAGAAAATCGTCTTTCTTTCATTTGTTAGCTCTTCTCCGAAACACCGGCTCTTCATAATGATGCAGTGGAAAATAGACCCAATGGAAGCTTTGCTAATCAGCTCATGCTTTGTTATTTATCAAAAAGAGTTTTGCTTTTCCTATAAACAAAGTATTTCAAATGACTCTTTCTTGACAGGTGTGTGCACAGAGATGCAATTTAATGCATTCATTTGAGTTATTTCTAAGTTCGTAAAGAATAAGATGGCAAAGGAAACAAAAAAGAAAGATTAACCAACAGTGGCAACACTCCCTTTGCTTCCTAAGTATATGTTGGCACCCATATAAGATTCACTCACATCTATCATCTGATTGTAATTGTGTTTCAACTGATTCTTGGGTTTTAGACTTATCTCAGAAGGAAAACCTTTTATGGTATTACACTAAGCAGGAAATTATTAAGATATCACTGAGGCTTTCAAACCTTTTAGAGGAGGCTTTGTTCAGAGAACAGGGAGTCATTATCTCTTGACACCGTAATTTATGTTTTGTGCAACCCCTACAGAGCCACACAGGTGACGCACAGGCACAGTTTAGCACCTGAGAGGTAACCTCTTACAACCACGTTCCTGGATAACAAGGATAAAGCTAAGGCTAATGGTATAGATTTCCCTTTGACGCTATAGTTTGATCTAGTTTGGCTGCTATTACCTCCACATTGTACAAAACAGATCTCTGAAGTGCCTTTATGGGAAAATGAAATATTTGCATAGTGTGGTTTTCCAATATTCTTCCATTAGCTTGTGCCAAACGGCTAATTACACAGAGGCTGCTAACGGCACTGAGTTACCCTCATTGTGATCAAAGTTATGACTGGAATTTGTGTTTTGTCATTACACATAATATTCTGCACCTGGAAGACATATTGATTGAGGGAAAAGAACAATCTTAATCGGCTTCAGGAGTCTGACGTCAGCCCAGAGACAAACACTTAAAATTGAGCTGACATATTTTTTTCCCTCAGAAGTCACAGAAAATGGCAGAACATGATTGAGACTCACCCTGGCTTTCAGTAATCTTTTGCATGTTTTAGCATGTGGAGCCACTGAAGTCTCCTGCAATGCTCCGTATTGCAGTCATCCTGTTCAAAAAATGTGACTAAAAATGTAGTGAAGCTGTCAATAGAATGGATATTTGCTTGGCATATCTATGGTGCTCCATGCGGTTTAATACAGAGAACAACTCCTGTCATTTACTCTGAGAGAATCATCGGTATCAGTTCTTCCCCATACATTCATATGTAAAATCAGTTGATTACATAAAAATATAGATTTTTTAATGATATTTTTATACATGCAAACATTTAGATTTCTTTTAAACCAACAATTACAAGAAATTAATCCAACTATGCCATTACTTGAAATACACAATTTCTTTTGAAGAAGGTTTGAAAAAGGAATATGAAAGTCTTTGCCTTTGGAAAAATATATAAATTTTATTCTGATGCCTGATTAATAGTCAAATGAATACAACTTACCCAGTTATTTATGCATAAAAAACTGGATCTAACACCAACTGATGTCACCATTGTGCTTCATATTTTACATAAGGATAATTTCTTGAAAAATGCTAATATGTTGTTAATAGCTCTTCTGTTAATGTTGCCAACCAACTTGGACTTTGGTTAAGTGTTAGAATTATTTTATGTTCTGTAACAATAGCTATACTATAGCTATACTATGTACTATAAATCCATTGTGATTATTTCCCTGGCACCTTACCTAGGAAGCTCTGATTTTTGCTAAATTAATGGTTATGTACAGAGACACCAAAATCTACATCAGTTATCTGCAAATCTTGTATAGATCTTGTGTTTTTTCTACATTTAGGCTGAATATGCTGGTTGATAAACCAGTTAAACATCTATACAAAAGCTGTCATTCTGAATATTTTTTCCCGCTCTAGAACATATAGGTGTATTCAGTCAGTCCAAAGGAGGAAAGACATCAGCAATTAGAAAGGAAAATATTGTTGCTAGTGATTTTGAAAAGGAATTTAAGGCCATTTTCCAAAACTAGGTTCCATCATTAAAAATATAGTATCCATTGATCAAATCGTTTAAGACAGTTGCCTGAGGTAAATCATGTGCTTGTGTAGATGGAGTACCTCAATACAGGGCAATGCAGCTTTTTATCAAATCACAAGACATGTAGGGCAGTGTTTTTGGAAGAGATCGGCCAAAGTGGGGATGCTTGGTCACAATGACAAGCACCATGTTTTGAGAAAACCATACGCAAAAAAATTAATTGTTAAGTATGATGGCTGAGAGGTAATGATATGGGCTTGTTTTGCAGCTTTTTGACCTGAGCAGGGACTGATATAAACAATGAATTCATGAGTAAATTAAATGACATCCCTTACAGCTGCAGCTGTCTGAGCAAAGCAGAAAATCTTACAACTTAATGACAAAAGAAATAAATAACTTGTTGAAAAGGCAAAGGTAAAAAAAAGTAATGGGACAAAAAAGACTGGGCCAGCATTGTTTCTGAAAGTTTCTGAAAGCTCCAGAAACTTTATTTTGTTACACACATGTCTACAGTAAACATTCAACTACTGTATGGACAATTTAAATCATTCTGTGCATTTTATTTTGGGAATTGTCCTTCTTAGACTTTCATTAAGATTCATGTATGACACTAGATATTTATCAAGTGCTGACACGATATTAAGGAGTGAGAGACAATACTAGTACAGACACACACAAAAGCATGCTGTCATTTGAAATTAAAAAATACTTAAGGTTTCTTATTTCTTACAGCAACTTCCTACAATAACTACATCAAATTTGATGTTTTTCAAAGAAAACAGTTAATAATCAAAACTAATAAATATACCATTCTAAACTAAAATAGTCAGGCAATGAGAGATGTTTTATTTTTCAATAGAAAAGATTAAATATTATTTATCAGGTAGCTATAGATTTACACAGATGCAAGAGCGAGGTCAAGTTTTTTTTTAAATTATCCATTCAACCTAAAACTTTTATATCACAAGATAATAGATTAAATTGCAAACTATTTGTTGTCATTTTTGACAACCCAATCCCTCTCCAGCCATTAACAGCTGGAAACATTGTCACACACTGTCACTGTAATTAACTCTGAATTAAGCAAAATATGGCTTAGACTAAATGACCAACAGCCATCAATATCACTTTAATGAAAAAGCTGCAATTAGCAAGTCAGTTGAGTTTACAACTGTTTAATAAAAGAGATTCAAGCTAGCATTTTAATGTTTACCCTGAGCAAACTTTTTGTAACATAGGTTTATTCATATTGTAAATAAATTGCTTTATATTTTTATGTTGGAAGTGGAAAACAGGTCAAAATCTTGCACAGACTGTATCTAATTGAACAGGCTATAACTCACATGACAGCAATAGAGATTAAAATAATGCTAGTTCCTAACTAGCAGTTAGCATAAAAATCAAACTGGATGGACAAAAGATCAATGTTCATTAAATAATACACACTCTGTATTATTTCTGTCAATGCATATCATCCTCATACAAAGTCTTGTGAAGGAGTCATAATAAAACAGCGACAGCACAAGAAAATTTATTGCAACTCACACAACTTCTTTACATGATAAAAACCACAGTTTAAAGAAGGTCATGCCTAGCTAGCCATTCATCCATAAATTTGAATGTTTTGAAACTCAGTTTAGCAAACAGTCTCTTGATTTGGTTGTGCGTCTTGCTGTACTAAACACTCGCTGTCATTCAATCAGGAAAATCCAAATGTTTGATAATAACGCACAAATAATTTTTTGATACTTTATCTAATACAATATCATCACATCATGATGTAAAATGATCATATGTCACTTTATCATATTTTTAAGTTGCAAAAGGAAGAACTGAAATAAAGTCACAAAAATTATTCCTGTCTTTGTCAAAGGCTCTATTTACTCCACCCACTTGAATTATCATTGATCTTCTTGCCCTTGGAGAGAGATATTGAAGGGGAATCTTATATTATAGGAGATTAACCTGTTGCTTTGAATTTTTTTTTTATGTTACCAGTCTGGTGGGGTATTGCTTCATGGGGAACATCAGCTCTCCCATTTCCCGTCAATTTACTATGTCATTTTTATGTTTATATTTTTTGGTGCTGACCTTCAGAGCTATAATTTCAATTCAGTCAACTTAACCTTGAGTGGTTGTAAAAACATAAAAAAAATAAAAACTCCACCCACTTGAATGATCATTTACAAAGAGCAGGATGATAAAATGAATGAAATCAGTTATATCCACAAGAATGCCAAGATTATTTTGAAATAAGTAATTGTAGAAAAAACAAAACACTATTAGTGAGTTGAAGTAGACGCTAGCTGTTAAGTTTTAGCATTGTTTTTTTTCTTATTTGTTTAAAAAGATTATTTTTTGTATTTCTTGATTCTACAATACGCTGTGACAATAACAATGTCAGTGAAAACACATAACAGAGGCAAACTAGTTTGCAAGCTGGGCTGCATTTTCACAGTGCAGTTTGTGCTCAGTCTGCTTATATTTGAAGCAGTACATTTACAAACACTCACAGCTAGTT